GGGAGAGAGGAAGGGAGGAACAGCCTCCATGGGTCAGAGAGGCAGCAGATACGTATGTAACTGGGACTGTCTGCCCTAGAAGATTCTAAGAAGAAAGTAGAAGATGCAGAGAGATAAACAGGGAGAAAGGGAGAAATAAAAAAGGTATTCCTTTGGGAAGTTTGCAGGGCTTGTTTCTATCAAAAGAAACAATAATGTCACAGAAGTCACATGGAGTAGGAAACATTATTGGGATCCATAGTCCCATGGGTTACATGAGTTGCTGACAAGCAGCAGCAGAAATGTAGCCAGGTGATTGGTCTCCAATTCTACCCCGACACTTTCAAAGAAAGTGATAAACATCATCTGCGGTCCCCATTCCATCCTCTGTTTTCATGTGTATGAACGCAGTGATCTGCCTGTTGGATTTTAAATCTCCGAACTTAATAGGGTCCTGGACAGGTCAAAATGTCTGGTGGGTGCAAACGTCTCATTTAGATGTGGGTTCCCCTCTTTGTCCACTATGTTCAATTAAAAGCAGGAAGGGAAGGGGAGAGGAGGGGAGGAAAGGGAAGAAGGAAGGAAAGGGAAGAGAGGAGGGAAGGGAAGTGGGAAGGAAAGAGAGAAGGGAAGAGGGAAGGGAAGGAAAGGGAAGGGGGAAGGGAAGGGAAGGAGGAAGGAAGGGAAGGTAAAAAGGAAGGGAAGTAAAGGAAGAGAGAAGGAAGGGGGAAAGGAAGGGGAGGGAAGGAAGAGGGAAAGGAAGGGGAGGAAGGAAGAGGGAAGGGAAGAAAACTCACCCCTTGCTTAGCATATTATCAAGAAATAACCATAAAAATGGGCAACCAGCAGCCCTGGGGGTTGCTCTGTCTATTCTTTTTTATTCCTTTACTTTCCTAATAAACTTGATTTCATTTTACTCTATGGACTCTTCCTGAATTCTTTCTTGCGTGAACTCCATGAACCCTCTGGATTGGAATCCCTTTCCTGTAAGAGGGGGATGAACTTCTAGGCAGCTCCTGAAGGTAATACATGAAGCGCACACACACACACAAACACACACACACACACATAGGGATAGGCTGTTGCCCAGCCTGGAGTGCAGTGTGCAATCACAGTTCACTGCAGCCTCAATATCCTGGGCTCAAGGGATCCTCCTGCCTCAGCCTCTGGAGTAGCTGAAACTACACGTGCATGCCCCTGAGCCCAGCTCTGAAGGTAATACTACATCAGTGCTCTCCTGGAGTACCTGCCATTTGATAGATGCTCAATTATTGTTAAACAAGTGACTTATGTGTGTCTGGTGCATATGTATATGTGTTGTGTGTGCACGTGTGTGTGTGGGATGTCTGTAGTGTGCACATGGTGTGTGGTGTGCGTGTTGTGTGTGTGTGCACATGTATGTGTGGTGGCAGGGGAGGTTAGGGAGGAGACCCAGACCTAGCATCAGTTTCCACTGTTGTCTCGACATCTCCCTGCCTTAGACGGATGGAAGGAACCAGTGTTCTCCAAACACATCTTGCAGGTTCTCACTGTGTTCCACTCACCCCTCTTTCCAATTCCTTCTTCTCTCCTCCCCCACCACAGCCTTTCCCTTCCCCCTCTAATTAACGGATTCCTCCTCTCTGTCCTCATGGTGCCTCCCGCCTCCCTGTTGCTGCTGCCTGAAGCATTTCTCTCTGATTAGATTGCGAGTCCTATCCCCAGCTCCGGCATCAGCAAGGGTTTTGACACCAATATTTGTTGAAATCTTGAAATGAGCACCCTGTTTGAACAGTGGTTTCTGCCACTGGCTGTCTGCATAGTGTAGTTGCTGAAAACAGCTGGAGGTCAAGGTGCATCCCCCTACTGGGATCATATATTGATGTCGCTCTGTGACCCGGTTAGGACAAGTCCCCTACAAAGACTCGGTTTTCTCATCTGTAAGTTGGGACTCATAGATAGCACTTATTTCAAATTAAGCATTAGATGAAGAATCTAAGTTAAGCGCATGCCACCAGTGGGTGTGTTCATTTTCCTCCCCTTCTGTCCTAACTTAGGAAAAAAAAAAATGAGCAGGGCGTGGTGGCTTACGTCTATAATCCCAGCACTTTGGGAGGCCCAGGCAGGTGGATCGCTTGAGCCCAAGAGTTGAAGACCAGCCTGGGCCACATAGTGAAACCCTGTCCCTATTTTTTTTTTTAAATGAAGTTCATTGATCTTTCCTTATAAATGAGAAAAGATTTGGTCTTATTTCTTAAGGATTTGGTAGTTAAATCATTGAATAGGACAGGTACCTGGAAAAGCCTAGATGGTATGGTTTTCTGATTATCTGTTGCCATGTAACAAACAGTTCCAAAACTTAATGGCTTAAAGCAATTTATTATTTGAGAATTTTTTTATGGTTCTGTGGGTTGACTGGAGCAGCTGGAAGTAGAGTCATCTAAAAGCTCAAGGATGGTTTATTCACTCAAATGTCTGCTGTCTCAGTTGGGATGATTGGAACAGCCAGAGCTGGCTGGCATCTCTCTCCACACGGACTCTTCCTAGTCTAGCTTGGGCTTCCTCACAGCATGGCCGTCTCAGGGCAGCTAGACTCTCACATGGCAATGGACTTCTTCCACAAGCATTCTGAGAGAGCAAGGCTTCTTATGAACTAGCTCAGAAGTTGTGCAGCATCACTTCTACAGTAGGCTGTTGGTGACATAGGCCAAGCCCAAATTAAAAAGCAAGAGGAGCACACAGAGTGTGGGCACCTACCAGGAAGTGTGGTTCCCCAGGGCCATCTTTGAAGATTAGCTACCACCACACAAAGATCTTATGCAAAGACATAAGAAATGACATTCACTGTTGGATGCATCTGTTGTAGGGTGGGCAAATGTTCTCTTTATAGGGCCAGATACCAAATACTTTAGAGTTGCAGGTCATATGGTCTTCGCCATGACTACTGAACTCTGCAACTGAAGTGTAAAAGCAACCACAAACAATATGCAAATAAATGGGCATGGCTGTGTTTCAATAAAACTTTATTTACAAAGCAGGTTGGGGGGCCAGCAATCACCAATTATTGGATACTTGGCAAATGCCAGACATGGGGTGCATTCGTTTTCTATGGCTGCTATAAAAAATTACCACAAACCTGGTGGCTTCAAACAATAAAAATGTATTCTTTCATAATTCTAGAGGCCAAAATCAATCAGTTTCACTGGCCTGAAATCAAGGTGCTGCCCAGGCCACACTCCCTCCAGAAACTCCAGGGGAGAATCCATTCCTTGCTTCTTCTGGCTTCTGGTGACTGCTAGAGTTCCTCGGCTTGTGGCCACATCACTCTGATCTCTGCCTTCATCTTCACAAAGCCTTCTCTCCTCTGTATGTCTGAGTGTCAAATCTCTCTCTGCTTTTCTCTTGTAAAGGTATATGTGATTGTATTTAGGAGCCTGCCTGGATAATCCAAGATGATGTTCTCATCTCAAGATCCTTAATCAAGCTGGGCGCAGGAGCTCATGCCTGTAATCCCAACACTCTGGCAGGCCAAGGTGGGCAGATCACTTTAGGCCAGAAGTTCAAGACCAGCTTGGCCAACATGGTGAAACTCTGTCTCTACTAAAAGTGCAAAAATTAGCCAGGCATGGTGGCATACGCCTGTAATCCCAGCTATTCAGGAGGCTGAGATGGGGGAATCATTTTAATCCGGGAGGCAGAGGTTGCAGTGAGCCAAGATCATGGCACTGCACTCCAGCCTGGGCAACAGAGTGAGACTCAGTCTCCAAAAAAAAAAAAAAAAAAAAGATCCTTCATCACATCTTTCCCACAGAGGGTGATATTCACAGGTTCTGGGAATTGGAAGTAGATAGATCTTTGGAGAGCTATTTTTCAGCCTACTGCAAGAGGTAGGCACTTTGCATACCTTTTTCTCTCATATTAAGGCTATGCGGCAGCTATGACTTTTACTGTTTTACAGATGAGGAAAGTGAGGCTCAGAGAGGTTTACTAACTAACTTGCCTGTATTTCTTATGCAGCTGGTAAGAAGGCCCAAGCTCTTTCCTTTACCCTTAGAGAATATTTCTGGGAGAAATACTGGACCATGGAATGCTATTCCATTCTATGTGATTTCAGGGCATTCACTTTAGTTTTCAGACACTTGGTGTTTTCATCTGTAAAATGGGAATCATCATATATCCTTCGTAACCTAGGTCAGATGAAATTAGACAGTTTTTGTAAAAATCATTTGAAACATATTATGTGTTATATAGATGCAATGGGTTATGATTATCTACAGTGGGTTCATCAGAAAGTTTTTATATGAGACAAGGGATGACTTGGCTGAGAGTCACGAAAGAAATACCAAAATATTTCTAGAAATCATTGCTGGCCTAGAGTGCTGAATCTTCACTTAACACAGTGATTGAAGTTGTGATATGGATACATTTAAAAATATTCCCTGTTTGAGGAATTATACCTGGAAGCCACCCCTCAAAGAAAGCCAGCGGGAAATGCTGAATTATTTCAAGTTGAAAGGGGGAGGGAAGGTGAGTTTTAGTCTTTACGAGGTTTCTTCTTCTCTCAATTTTAGGCATTATACCCAATGTGTCAGAGTTTTATTGCAGTGGTACCATGAGCTGTTTTTCTGTCTGTTAACTTTCTGTGGCTTCTGTCATCTTGGTAATAAAAAAAAGGATGGTGGGAGAAGAGTGGGTGGGAGGTTGCCTAAGTGAGCAGCAAAATGATGCCAGGAAGAAAAAGTCAGGCATGATAAAGAGCATTTAGGAGGAACCTAGACATCTTTATCAAAATTGATTTTGGACTGGACAGGCCTCTTCTCTGCATTCACGCTGTGTTTATAAATCTAGATCAGATGTGGAAAACATGGCCTCTCAGAATAGAGTACATCCTGTACCATGGCAGACATTACTAATCAATCAGAGCAACCCAGCACTCCAGGCAGCCACTCCCAGTCAATGAACACTATCGTCTCTGCGCTTGATGATAAGCCTAAAACATAAATTTTACTGCATTAATTAACTTCCCTAATTCAAAAGGCTTTTTGTCCTGCTGCTTATACCCACGCTGAAGCTGTTCGTTTACTATTTTGGTGACACCTGGTTTATTTGCAATTCAACAACAGCAGCTACGATTCACTCACTGTGCACAAAGCTCTCTATATTGAAGTCTTACTACTGTTCGTTTTTCTAGGTAACTGAAGCTCATCTGAATGCTATGCCAATCAAAGGAAGAGTTCTGCTGCTTACAAACTGTTTGAAGACTGCTGCTCTAGTGAGTAGTGTTTCCGGAGATGAGTGAAGCATTTCATTTTTCTTTATCAGGGGTTATGTTTTTAATGCAGTGTTTATTGTTAGATAATTTCAGGAATGCAAAATAAAAACTAAAAAAAAAATATTCATAGTGTGGGCAAGACGAACAAACATGATTCACTCAAGAAAAAAAAAAAAAACAAACTTCCTGTGTATGGGCGGGCATTGGCAGAAAATGAGAGAGCATTCAAGCAAATGTTGCAAAATATTAACAACTGTCGAATGTGGGTAGGAGGTATTCAGGGATTCATTTCTTCAACCTTACTATATGTTTGAAACTTTTCGCAGTAAAAACCTGGAGGGTGGAATAAAACACGGAGAATAGATGTATTTTTTAAATATCCCTTCATCCGTGAGACCTTTGCTACTTCTGTTTTAATTTTTAAATTTTTTATTGAAAAATAATTTATATAACATAAAATTCACCCTGTTAAAGTGTACATTTCAGTGGGTTTTAATATATTCTCTATGTTCTGCAAACCTTACTGCTAATTCTAGACCACATCCAATGCCCCCAAATAGAACCCAATACATATTACCAATTTGTCTCAACCTCCCCCTCCTTTGGCAACCACTAATCTGTCTCTATGGCTTTACCTATTGTGGACACTTCATATAAATAGAGGCATATACTATGTGGTCTTTCATGACTGCTATCTTTCACTTAGCATAATGTGTTCAAGGTTCTTCTCCATTGCAGCATGTATCAGTACTTCATTCTTTTTCGTAGCTGAATAATATTCCATTGTATAAATAAACCACATTTTATTTACCCCTTCTTCTGCTGATGGACATTTGGGTTGTTCTTCCTTTTGGCTGCGATGAATAAGGCTGCTATGAACATTCACGTTCAAGTTTTTGTGTGAGCGTTTGTTTTCAGTTCTCTTGGGTATATACCTAGGAGTGGAATTGCTGGGTCATTTGGTAACTTTATGTTTAATCTTTTGAGGTCCTGCCAGGCTGTTTTCCAAGGTATGCCATTCTACATTCCTACCAGCAATGTATGAGAGTTCCAGTTTCTCTCCATCTTTGCCAACATTTGTTATTGTCCTTTTGCAGTTTTTTAATATATCCATCCTGATGGCATGGATCTCCATTAGGAGATCTCATTCTAGTGGGTGAGATCTCATTGCACTTTTAACTTGCATTTCTGCCACTTCTGTTTTCTACTTCAATGCTGATGAACTTAGGAGAAATTGTCAGCTGGGATACTGAACATACAAAAGCAGTAGGGGGTCTTAAAAATCATTGCATTCTGCAATTGCATGGATTTTTCCTGAAGAATCATCTTGTGCTCCCAGACTATCCCTGAGTTGTTGCTTGAGGCTTGTACATGTTTTCATTAGATCACAGTTCTGCAGGTTAGCGGTTGGGCATGCTGTAGTTGGGTTCTCTGCCTGGGGTATCACCAGGCTGAAATCAAGGTGTCATCTGGACTGAGTTCTTGTCTGGAGCCTCCAGGGAAAATTCCCAGATCTTTCCTGTGGGTGGTGGGATTCAGTTTCTTGTAACTGTAGAACCTAGGTCCCTGCTTCCTTGCTGGCTGTTATCTGGGGCCAACCTCAGTGCCTAGAGGCTGCCCACATTCCTTGCTACGTGGAACCTTTCATCTTCAAGCCAGCAACAGCATGTTGTATCCTTCTTGTTCTTTGAAGCTCTGACTTTTCTGTCTCTCACCTCGAGGCCCAGCTTTAAGAGGCTCATGGCATTAGGTCAGGCCTGCTCAGATCATCTCTGTATCTTAAGGTCAGATGATTTGGAACCTTAATGACATCTGCAGAATCCCTTCACAGCAATGCCTAGATTAACGCCTGAGTAACTGGGGGAGGTATGTGTACAGTATGGACTGGGAATCTTGCTGGCCACGCTAGAATTCTGCTTTTCAAAGGCTTTTGAAATAAACACTAAAATGTGTCTTTTGCTGACCACAGCATCAAAATGTTTCCATGCACCATGAAAGCAGTTCCAGCTTTATGAGTGACACTGGATAACAGCTATTTCAAGTAGGATAATATTCTGCAAATCCATTGGTATTGTCTATACTGACCCTTGCTGTTGATTATTGAATCAATGGCTCCTGTTGGCTTCAGGGGATCTTAGTGTGTTGACTGGAACCTGGTTGAGTCATGACAAAGTGATAAATTGCATGCTTATTTCCTCTTGTGATTCTGTGGCTGTTTGGAAAGGACTAACCTTCTGGTGTGCCCAATAAAATCCTCTTTGATGTGCCAAATATGGACCTTTGAACTTTTAAGGAATTTTAAGTGGAGAAAATTAGTATCTGCCCGTATTGAAGCAAGTACAGCCTTTGTATTTTTTCCTCATGGTGGACATTAGTGACAGGAAACACTCTTGGTTCTTGGCTATATCATTTCTCTCCCCCGTCTAATCATTTAGCTCTCACATTCTGAAACGGGCATAAATTGCCCCTTGTTTAAGTACAATAAACTAAAGTGTGAATGCATGTGATACGTAAAATGACTTTGAAAGAGAAAGCCAATAGGAACCAGTTCCCATTGCCAAGGTCAAGTCAGAAGTGGCTAGACATTTCTTTCTTTCTTTTAATACTGTTGGAATGCAGTAGATCTCAACGGGTCTGAAGACAGCATTTTCCAGTGTGTGATCCTCGGACACCAGTTTCATAAGATGAATAATAGGCATTAAGTGGAAAGAGTTCTGTGGTCATGTAGGGTTTGCCATTAAAGTGAATTATAAATCTCAGGGGAGATATTCTTTTGGGATTTCTAAGGGGAGATACTCTGTTGGGATTTCCAAACTTTTTTTTTTTTTTTTTTTTTTTTTGAGACGGAGTCTGGCTCTGTTGCCCAGGCTGGAGTGCAGTGGCCGGATCTCAGCTCACTGCAAGCTCCGCCTCCCGGGTTCACGCCATTCTCCGGCCTCAGCCTCCCCAGTAGCTGGGACTACAGGCGCCCGCCACCTCGCCCGGCTAGTTTTTTGTATTTCTTAATAGAGACGGGGTTTCACCGTGTTAGCCAGGATGGTTTCGATCTCCTGACCTCGTGATCCGCCCGTCTCGGCCTCCCAAAGTGCTGGGATTACAGGCTTGAGCCACCGCGCCCGGCCGGGATTTCCAAACTTATTTAGAGGTTGAACACTTATTCAGGTTTTCCATTTAGGAAGGGCTGTGTTGAAAGAATTCTTTGACTTGAGAAAGTAGGCATATGTATGTTGGCATGTTTGTGGTACCAGTCCACAAAGGGACACATCTCCACATTTGAGTCACAAGTACACATCTTTGGGTCAATCAGGCGCGGTGGCTCACGTCTGAAATCCCAGCACTTTGGAGGCCGAGGCGAGCAAATCACCTGAGGTCAGGAGTTTGAGACCAGCCTGGCCAACATGGTGAAACCCTGTCTCTACTAAAAATACAAAAATTAGCCGGGTGTGGTAGTGCATGTCTGTAATCCCAGTTACTTGGGAGACTGAGGCAGGAGAATTGGTTGAACCCGGGAGGTGGAGGTTGCTGTGAGCCAAGATTGTGCCCCTGCACTCCAGCCTGGGCAACAGAGTGAGACCCTGTCTCAAAAAAAAAAAAAAAAAAGGGTGGGATTATTTGCTAATCCCTTTATAGTCTATCAATACTGTTCTCAATCTGAAGCCCTAGGAGTGGCCTCAGACACTTCGGTAACAAGTTTATATCTAGTAAATGGATAAAAGGAGGAAACTGATATTTGTTAATTATCCCCCATGGGGGTGGGTGCATTGTATATTGTATCGTATTTAAACTTCACAATAACCCTGCTGAAGTCAGTGTTGTTACCTTCAGTTTATAAACAAGGACACTGCAGCTCAGAAAGGCTAAGCAGTTTGCCTAAGGTCACACAACTTGTACATGTTCTTGAATCCAGCATCATCTGACTCCAAAACCCCTCCCCTTTCTCATATACCATGCTTTCCCTCCTCCTTTCTTGCTAATATATTTTAGTTTATGCTATGAATGAGTATACTAAAAGCTGGGTGTAGAGCAAACATTTTAAATTGAGTTGTATTTTCCCATTTTTCAGCATTATGATTTCAGAGATGCTTCATCCTTATTCCAAAATCATCTTTAACTAGACGGATGCGGTGGTTCACGCCTGTAATCCCAGCACTTTGGGAGGCCAAGGCGGGTGGATCCCTTGAGGTCAGGAGTTTGAGACCAGCCTGGCCAACATGGTGAAACCCCGTCTCTACTAAAAATACAAAAATCAGCCGGGTGTGGTGACAAGTGCCTGTAATTCCAGCTACTCGGGAAGCTGAGGAAGGAGAATTGCTTGAATCTGGGAGGTAGAGGTTGCAGTCAACCGAGATGGCGCCCCCGCACTCCAGCCCGGGAGACAGAGCGAGACTCCGTATTTAAAAAAAAAAGATAAAAAATAGTCATCCTCAACTGACAGTGGTTTTGGATGCTTGAGTTCTCCATTGCCCCACCTCTTCCCTATTCTCTATGAAGTGATGAATAATCTGAAAGCAAAATTTTGCAATGCACTGGGAAAAACGAACTCTGATTTCATTTATTTTCCAATTTCTACGCTTCCTCAAAGGAAGCATGTCTTTTCATTTATCTGCATAATTCTGGAGAGCTTTAGAGCCCGACAGGCTCTGGCTCAAATCACTTGACCTTTGGCTAGTGATTTCATTTCTGTTTCCTTGGCCTGTGAAATGGGAACGACAGTACTCTGGGAGGCCAGTTAAGGACCATTAATTTAAAGCACTTACATAGGAGTACTCTGTAACTGTTAACTTCTGTTCGACCTTAGTATTTGGGATTAAATAATATTGGCCATTAAGATAAAAAACAAAAACAAGAATTGTCAGGGACACCATTTAAAGGCTCTGAAAAGAGTTACAAAGAAACTAGCCAGGCAAGGTGGTTCATACCTGTAATCTCAGCACTTTGTGAGGCTGAGGTGGGAGGATCACTTGAGCCCAGGAGTTTGAGACCAGCCTGGGCAACATGGT